AGAATAAAGTCATACAACAATAATGTCATAATATTATGAGAATAAACTTGTAATTTACTAGAATAAAGCTGTAGTACTACGAGAATAAAGTCATATGACAATGATGTCATAGTTTTATGAGAATAAACTTGTAATAATGCCAGAATAAAGTTGTAATATTACCAGAATAAAGTCGTAGTATTACGAGAATTAAGTCGTATGACAATAAAGTCATAATATTACGAGAATAAAGTCGAAATAATACAATAATAAAGTCGTAGTATTACGAGAATAAAGTAGAAACAATGCAAGAATAAAGCCATATTATGTCGGCAATACAACAGCAGGGGGCCCAACACGCTGAGACATATTCTTATGATAAACTGAAGACGTATGGCATTGCAATTAATGTCGGATTTATCATTGACAGATTTACTCGTGACATAATGTGGATGGAGGCATATTTCACAGTGACCCAAAGTGATCACGGACGACTTCATAAACACAGCGACTCTCATGGGAGGCTGTTCACAGCAGAAAAGCCGACCCAGGACGTATTACGAGTTTATTCTCATATTATGGCTTTATTCTCGTAATATTGGGACTTTATTCTCGTAATACTACAAATTTATTCTCACAATATTATGACTTTATTGTTGTATGACTTTATTCTCATAATGCTATGACTTTATTCTCATAATTTTATGACTTTTTTCTCGTAATGCAATGTTTTTTCTTAGCGTGGCCCTAATACTCGGTCGTAGAGAAACACTGCAGCGCACAATATTTTTTTTTATTTGGAACTTGCAGGGAAAAAATATTCCAAAGCAATTTTGCGTGGCGACCTGCACTGGTAAAGTTGTTGACCTGCTTGCGTTTAACAGCTGATTGTGTAAGAGCGGCCATGACGTGTCGCAAAGTTTTTCAAATAGCTGATGTGTTTAAAAACTCTGCGGTGCGGCTTCGTTTGGTTGAATTGTGTGTTGTTTTATTATATTTAGCCGTTACCTTGTAATTGTCTTAAAACGCGAAGCTGCGTTAGGTGTTATTAATTCTTGGCTATCATTAAAATCATATCACATTGTAAATTTAGAGCCATTAAAATGTAGTTTTAAGCAATGTTTAATGACAATTGTTCTGTTTTATGTATTATTTATTTAATGCTTGCTTACATTAGGATCATTTGCAACTCCCTGTGACTTATATTTGAGAATATTTCCTTACTTTTCATAAAATGCATCAATGTCGGACGATCGCCCAACTCTAGCAGACCGCAGGTAAGACGTTAATTTTTTATGTCTCTTCTACAGAACCCTACTTTAAAGATCTGAATTATCACTTTGAGGGAATGCCAGCGGTAAACGAGGACTCTGGCTGCAGTAGTCATGTCGTGGTTTACTCATCTGTCAAAAAAGTCGTATTGTAAGGTTTTTACATGGTGTATTTTAAATAGGTCTGCAGCCAAACAGGAGAACAGAATGAGAAAATTTGAGCAGCGCTGATAACATGGAGAAACATTCACCTAAAAACACACTCACACACAAACAAGAGCTACATCAACAACAACAAAATGTTTAAAATGAGTAAAAAGTGCAATTTGTTTGTGATTAGAGGTTGATGATGATGTCCTGCCTAATAGTAAAAAGAAGTATTTGATTTAAAAAGGGGGTAAAAAAGTCCTATATACATGTTCACACAAACAAATACAAAATATTATTTTCTAGATCTTGCTTGATCCGGAGACAAATATAAAGTTAAATCAGTGGCAGTGCATGTTTGTTTTTTTATTTTTAACTTGGAGATGTGAAACTTGAATCCCAATCCTGATTTTTGAAAGAGAAAAGACAATAAAAACTCTTCGATAATTCTTCTGGTTTAAAGAAATAAATAAGTAGACATAAATAAATAAAATTCTACAGCCTTTACATAAAAATCTAAACCCTCCTCAGCCAAATGTATGATGTTCGTGACTTTTAATATTTTAACAAATTTGTTTTAGATGATGGAATGCTTAGAGCAAGTGTGAGATTTTAGGCTGTTTTGTCAGTATAGGTAAGCAAAAACCAAGTCTTGGCGCCCAATTTATATTAAAATCTAAGCTTTAGATATGTAAGAAAATAAATAAGACAATCAGAAACAAACATTAAGGTACTCTGAGGTTATGTCACGTGTTCATTGCAATGAATACATTCAACTGACTCTATGGCCTTGGAAAGGACACGCCGTGCTGTTCAAGCAGAAACGTCATGAGTTGCAGTTCCCGCTCCAAAAAAAAAGAAAGAAAAAAGCTGCTTTCCTTCCCTCAGCAGCAAAATCAACTCTGTAGTGCAATACTGACAGCGTCTTTTCTTCATGCTCAAAACTTCACATCACCTTGGAAAGGTGTTCCTGTCTTCCATCGCGAAAGAAAACACCTAGCTTAATTCTGTTTTTCTACAAAGTAATTAAAACCATTGATTCATTATGGATTCACTGTTTTTGTTTAAACCTTTTACTGTATTTTAAAGAAGACTGTCCATGAATGCTGAGTTTGTGCGGGACGGTTCAGCGAAACGAGTCGAAGGAGATGCACAAGTAGCGTTATGTTATAAAACGTCTTTTAAACAATATATTAAAAATATAAAACTCAGACGCAGCTCCGATTAAACTCTTTTTGTACGAGCTACTTGAGAGACTGACCTAAAAAGTGTTGAGAACAGTACCAGCGGCCACGCCTTGGAGGACGACGTCCTTAATTGTGCGTTTCTGCTTCTCTGGATTGTCTCTTAAAGGACTCAGGGGTTGTCCTTGGACGGGTGTAGCGCTGCTTCAGGGGGCGGGGCTTTAGAGCACGAGAGCCCTTGAGGTAGAGCCAGAAGAGGAGTAGGGAGTCAGGTACTGACGAGCCTGTTCCGTCAGGATCAGCTGGTCCTCAGTCTTCCCAAAAACCACTGCTTCCCACTCGCTCACCTGCAGAGAAAGTCATCACTGGTGACTCAAATGACTTCCTGTTTACAGCTTTTGCACGCAAGGCGGCAGACGATAATGTTTTAATCTGAACATTAGAATTTTTGCCATTGATAAAGAGCCTAAAATGATATATATATATATATATTTATTCAACACCAGGAAATAAAAAGCCAAAATCATGAGTCAATATATTTTATACAGGTTCATTTTGAATATACCTGTGCATGGGCAGGTTTTGGCGCTTTGTTTGAGGAGGAAGCCTTACGAGGGCTGGTAAAACCACAAGGAAGACTCTGAACTCCTGAAGAGGACTTGTCTTCCTCAGAAGCCAAAGGCTGCCCACCCTCCTCTTGCTCAGTAGTCGGGAGGATCAATGAAGACGAGCTCGTCAGTAGACTCTCCTCTGAAATCTGTAGCATGCCACCAAGTAAACAATTAAGTATTTTTTTATTATTACATCAAATCATTTGAAAAAATAACAACCTTGCTGAGAAGTTTGTCATAATACATGAAGTTAACCATCTTTTACACTAGATTACTGAATAAAAATAAAAATTTTAAAAGGTTAATTTCATGCTAAATTAATACAGTTAGGTTTCTGCAATAGGTTTATTGTAAACCATGAAGTAACATCAACTAAGTTCCTGGCAAAAACCAATGCAGACATGTTCCTGTTTTCTTCACTGTCTTATAATCTAGCTGTTTTATTAGCTAATTTTTGCTTTTGACTGTCCTTTTGGTTGTCATTTTATTTTAATTTGTTTTAAAAAAATGTATGCCTCTTTTATGATTGTCTATTGTTGTTATTCATTGTTGTCATCACTCTTTGTTAAATAAATCAGGTCTCTCTTGTAAATGAGTCCCCAAGTCTCAACGGGATTAACCTGGATAAATAAAGGTTGAATGAATGAATGAAAAAAAATGGCAGCATAAACGCATCAGACATTTAACTTTTGAGTTTTCAGTAGGCTACTGTTGTTTATTGTCATTCTTTAGTTTTAGAGGACAAATAATTACCTGTGCATTGTTCAGCTGCTCCTGGAAGAGTTGGACATCCAGATTGTCTTTGTGCCAAGGGTCTAAAACAAGAGACTTGCGCACTTTTCTAGCTGGACCATCCATCTAAATGTAAGGGTCAGAGATTTGACAAAAATTTAGTATTATAAGACTTCCCCAAAGTTCATACTCAATAATCCAGGTAAAAAAAATTCAACAATGTTTAGTCAGGTCATCTGCATGGTTCTTTTTTTTTTTTTGCTGAGATGTTTTGTCCTTCATCCAAAGGACTTATTCAGTCCGAGGAGCCACAAACAAACCGGAGTCCCACAAATAAAACACTCCCATAGTTGGAAAATAACAGTTTGCTGGTAATAAGTTGGTTTCTGGGTCCCACCCTCTCCCCCGTCAACTCCTCTGAAGCAGTCATGCCAAAATGGTTCAAAACACCAAAGTTCATGCTCAATAATCCAGGTACTAATCCAACAATGTTCAGTCAGGTCATCTGGATGGTTTCTTACTTTTCTTTATTTTTGCTGAGATGTTTTGTCCCTCATCCAAAGGACTTATTCAGTCTGAGGAGCCACAAACAAACTGGAGTCCCACAAGCACCTAACTCCCATAGTGAAAAAAAACCATTTGCTGGTGATAAGATGGTTTGTTTGTGGCTCCTCGGACTGAAGAAGTCCTTTGAATGAAGGATGAAACATAGCAGAAAAAAAAGAAAAAAGAAACTGTCCAGATTACCTGACTGAACATTGTTGGATTTTTACCTGGATTATTGAGCATGAACTTTGGTGTTTTGAACCACTTTGGCATGGCTGCCTTAGGGGAGTTGAAGGGGGAGAGGGCGGGCCCCAGAAACCATCTTATCACCAGCAAAGTGTTTTTTCCCCCACTATGAGAGTGTGCTGCTTGTGGGACTCCAATTTGTTTGTGGCTCCTCGGACTGAATAAGTCCTTTAGATGAAGGACAAAACGTCTCAGCAAAAAAAAAAAAAAAGAAACTGTCCAGATGATCTGACTGAACACTGTTGTATCATACGACTTCAAAATAACAAAACGACAGCAAAGTCAGTGCAAGACTCACATTATGTTTCCAGGCTCTGTGGTCTGACTGGTAGTCTGTTTTGTGGAAAATGTCTGTTCCAGTCTCCAGTTTCAGAACTTCTCGAATGTCCTCTTCTAGAAGAGCCAAAGGCTGGGGCTGCAAAATGACGGCAAGATGAGAATAAACGTAAGCACCATTAGTAAAAACAACAGCATTACGTTGAACTGCACACACACAACAATCTGACCACTACCTCCATCCTCAGGGGGCCGTGCATTTTTTCCTGGGCAGCCAAAGCGTTTTTAAACGGAGTTGGCGTCCTTGGAGTTGCAGCATTTTTACGAAACGTAGGGGTCCTGGAACTACACAGTCATCACCATTATAGCAAATTTCTTCAGCGGATGACATTTTCAAGCTTACTTTTTAACTATTGACCTATTTACCCATCATTCTCTTTCTGGTGCTTAGGCGTGGTTACTTTGTGGAGGGGCGTGTTGAGGAGGCACCTTTGACCACACACAGGAGTTGAGGTCAGGGTGGGGTCATCCAGACTCAGGTGATCTGTTCCTGATATGTTGCAGAACTGAAAAAACCAGACAGATATGCAGCACGAGGTCACAATGCAGCCGTTGTAAGGGGGTGAAGGTGAGGGGCGTAACTCGTTTACCTGTGAAGGAGTGAATGGCTGTGACTTGGTGGGAGTTTTCTTGGGTGAGCTGTTTTCCAAGAAGGAGGAGCAAGTCTTGCCACACAAAGGTTCCCCCCTGTCTCTTCTCCTCTTCCTCCCAGTGGATGCCTGGGTGGGTTTGGATGAGCCTGTGCCTATCCGAGAGGTGGCACCTCCCAAGCCAAAAGGAGTCGTGCTCCTGTCATGGCCTGAGGCGGCAGCGGGAGTGTTGACGGTGAAACCCATTGAGTCATAAACGGTTTTCTCCTGCAGATTGGTGTAGCCTGCTTGGTTGTGCCTGGACGACGGTGCTGCGTTCTGCAAATTGAAAGCGGCCACGCTGTTCCATGTTTCGGGATCCTGTCGAGCAAAGTTCATCAATAGATATTTATGACAGGATGTGGTGTGAATGCTGATTTCTCTAGTTTGAGGTAGTTTGTTTCTGTTACTCACTGACTCAATTAGCTCCATAGTTTCTGCAAACTCTGGCATAGTCTGCAAGCTACAGAGCACAGCGCTGGCCTCTACGGACAGGAACTTGCTGGGAGAAACAGGAAGTTGTGCTTGAGGACCCCTCCAGGGTCCTCTCTCCACCGGCTCCGCCAGGCTGCTGCTACTTGTGGTAAATGTTTCACCCGAGGCGCTGCCTGACCAGGCCGGGTACGAATCCACAGAACTCACACTCTGGGGGACGGCAGAGAGAAATGCAGACGTTAGAAGAGGCAGACTGGATCTGATTCAGGCAAACGGCTTCAAAGGAAATCACTAAAAGGGGAACATATGAATGCAATGAATGAGGTCTAAAAAGAATTTCAGACTTGACGCAAGGAGAGACAGAACGCAGGGTGAAAAATGAGTTTTTGATGTACGAGAGTATAGAGGATTGATAAAAGACTAAAGGGAGGGTTAAGGCAGGATGTGAGTTGACTACAAAACAGTTTCAGGCCAATCTGAGAGCAGGGAGATGAAGAATGGAGTTACTATAGCAACACTACAGCAAATCAGGCAGGCATGAATAAATGTGTGCCACACTTTTTATACGAGTATACACTGCAAAACGCACATTAATAATCAAATCAAATGCAAACAAACAAAAATCCATCCCACTTGCTCACCGTTTAATATAGTACTTTAGATTAAAATGAGCTTTTTGCAGTGTATGCAAGCTACAAACACACGCACACTACGCTAACTAAGTCTGCTAACACACATTGGGAGTGTGTTCTTACACAGGAACCTCTGCACTGCATTTGTCGCTGGACTTCTCTTTCTGCTGACATAAGCAGCAGCTCAAGCTCCTTAATTCTTTGCTCTCTGTCAGGATCATCCAGGCAGGACGGCTGGAATAAATGAATGTCAAAGGGGAGAGAGGTCGACATGAGGAAAGAATAAGGGAAAAGAGTGTGGAGAGTTGAGAAAAATCAGGAAAAGGAGACAAAACAACCACAAATTTACACATATCTATCATTCGATGTTAGGTGAAAACAACGGGACAGTCAAGTTCTTGATCTGCTTGATTTGTCCAAAGTTAGCAGTCACAAGTATTGTGATAAAGATTGGAGAATAAAGGGTGTGAAAGGTTTTCTGCACTGGCATGCACAGAAATTCAAATACAAAGACTCACGGGCACAAAGTTAGAGCGTTCAGGAATGCTGTCCATCATGCGTCTACTGGTAGGATCGTACGGGAAACCAGCCATCTGCAACGCACAGCATCAACTCAGAAAAGAGCAGAAATTAAATTAATTAAAGCATCATTTAGTGTGAAATGGATGAAAACTGACCTGGCTGGGTCCTGTCACAGGCAGAGGACTGTGGTCACAGTGCTCTGTCGGAGTGGAGCTTTTACTTTGACGTCTCTTGGTGGAGGACGTAAGCACTTTGAAGCCATCCTGCAGGTAACCTTCGTGCTCCACTTTCCTCCTCATGGTGGAATTCCAGTGGTTCTTGATGGAGTTGTCTGTCCTGTTAAAAAGAGGATGGATATTTTTTAGACATCTCGCTGAGTAAGAAGCAAAACATTCCTGCATTGATGAATTACCGTCCGGGAAGAAGTTTCGAGATCTCCGCCCAGCGGTTGCCGAGCCGTTTGTGAGCTTCGTAGATGATTCGATCCTCCTCCTGAGTCCACGAAGACTTCTTCACCTCTGGGTTCAGGTGGTTGTGCCACCGTTCTCTGCACTGCTTTCCAATCCTTCCCTGCAGGTGCTTTGCGATTACTGACCACCGCTTGGGGCCATACTTGTGCACCAGGTCAATCACCTGCACAACACACCAAACTGTGTGAGTAATTAAACCTTGTGGGGCATTTTAGTTCTTTTAGTTTACTTACATAGTCAAAAAAGTACCTGTGTACAGTCAACTACTGTGGTCTGCTAGTATTTGTTTATTTTATGAAAGGCAGTAAAATCGAATAGGTGCACTCAAAATAAATGATAACGTGCTATGTGTTGTCAACATTGTATGTTCCCATTCAATGATGAAATTAGTTCTTTACATTTAATCCATCGCACCTGGGATATACCCAGGTGGAGCAGTGGGCAGCTATATGGGCGCCCAGGGAGCAATTAGGGATTGGGTGTCCTACTCAAAGACACCACGACATATGGGAACGGCTGGGGATCAAGCCAGGGGCTTTCGGGTCCCAGGTCGGCTCTCCTGCCTCTACCCCATCTCGGCCCCAAGTAAAATAAAAAGAGAAGCTGTTATTACAGTAAAAGCTGAGCCAAAGTTCTGTCGTTATAAGATGTCGTACATGACGATTTGGCCAAAAATGATTTATTTAGGCGCGCAGATCTCATGCAAGAACTAAAGTAACAGAGCTCCACTGTGACTAAAAAAGGGCAGGGTGCTACACTAATAACTTCAAGATGATGTAATGAAGTTTTTATTTTACACACACGCAAAAAAAAACTTTCAGTGGAAAAAAGCTTGCACATGTGCACAACCGTTTTCCTGAGCGTAAAAGATACTTTGTATATTGTGATACACGTGTTTGTATCTCGCCTATCATTTTCCTCTTTAGTCATCTTTTTTTTTTAAATCCAGAACAGAAACTCGCGGCTCCACTTACCTTCTGATCCTCCTCTTTTGTCCAGGGTCCTTTTACTAACTCTGGATTGAGCACCTTCTGCCAGCGGTGCTGACACTGACCATCTGTCCTCCCCTGTGACAAAAAACATGCAACACCTCATTACAACCCGCCACCGGCTACACTCACTCTTGACTGCTGCAAATAACTGTATCTTTCCAGTCACATGTGACTTTTATTGAGCTGAAAAAGTTTGATCATTAAGTTATGAGTAATTTCCATTTGGTTTGAAGACAATTATTATAATCATATAATACATACTTACAGGGAAAAAGGTTGCAACTAATTTCCAGGATTCAGTTCCATGTTGCTCAACAAGTTTTTTCAGCTTTTCATCCTTAAAATACAGAGAAAACACATAGTCAAACTGCGCTCCTTTGTTGTGCAGCTATTAAAATAAAGCATAATCATTATATTTTCATTTGCATAAAGAAACTGGAAGCATGCAAACAGGATGTAATTAAAAACATCTCAATGTCTGAAGTTACCAACGAATTCTCAGTCCAGACCTTATGTGCATCTCTGATGAACTCACCTCGTCTCGTGACCACTTCACTTTGCACAGCGTCTTTTTATCTTTGCTGTTGTCTTTGCTCTCTGGATCTGTGGAGTGCAGATCTTCATCCTCATCCGTGCTAAAAAAATAAAATATACAAGCAAAAATGCAGAAAGGAATTAAAAAGAGAAGAGGGGTGTGAAAATGATAATGTCAAATAATTTTCTTTTTATAACTTCATGGCCTTAAAGGGTTTTTCTTTGAAAACTAAATACCTTATGCAAATATATTTAATGGAAACTATGCTTGAACACAAGTGTGATTTCAACTCTGAACTATTTACTATGGAAGAGGAAACAAGCACAGCTTTTGAAGAGTCGGTGCTGCACAGCAGACCTTTACAATCACATAAACAAACATGCAAGGCAGTTCTTTTCCTCAGGTCCTGTATCTGAGTGTGGATGAAAGGTTTTCTTCAGTGCAGAAACTTGAACATGGTGTTTGAACTTGCAGAGGGCCGAGCAATGAAACAAGTGCCTGAATCTGGGTCTCTGGCTGAACAGGAAGGAGGGGTGCAGGGCGACCTCACATCAACGGGAGTCTTTCACTTGTGGAGGTGCAAAGTTAGTGGGTGTGCTTCTACCAAAGTCCAACATACCATTTATATACAGGGAGTGTCACTACTACAGTATTATACAGTAACATGCCTTTAGATGTTGTTAAATAATGCTACACAGAATAAAAATGTACATACATGTACATAAAATATATTACATTGAGCTATCAGGGGTATATAAATAGAATGTAAAGTGTTATTAGAACTTAAAACAAATACTGTCAACCACAATAATATTATTATTTTAGCCCTAAACCTGCTGTAACCATTAATTAATTAAGCCGCAACCAAAAAAAAGTTTTTTTTCTATATTCATTTCAATTATTTTTATATTCAAAATGCCACATTTGCACACAACATGGTCATTACAAATGGTACATCTCCTAATAAAACAATTTAATATCGTCTTGAGCAAGAAACAAGTTGATCTTATTACCAGTTAATATGACTTGTTGAACTGTTTGTACAATTTGATGGGCACCGGTGCGAACCAGAAGAGAAGACGCGGCGTAAATAAACAAATGGATGATAATATTTAACACGAGCTGTTTAAACGTGCGTTATGAGCAGCTTGAACAATTCTGATGAATGACTTCAGAAACTTTTTGGTGCTTTCCCCATGGCTTAATTTTCATGTAAGAAAAGACTGAATATTAACAAGTGTAAAATATATTTAGAACACATTTTATTAAATGTTATTGTTTTAATTCATTAACATTTTAAATATAAGCTTATTAGCAGTAAATGAGGTCAATTTACTGCAGCATATATGTAAAAAATTAGCATTTTTATAACTTTGCTGTAAAAATGGGGTTCTTTTTTAACAGAGTAAAACTGCAGGTACACACAATAACACTAACACATGAAGCTGACGCCCAAACCTGCTCAGAGGACATTGACACAAAATATACTTAAAAATATTACTTTCAGAGGTTCATGAAGGCACAGGGCAAACAGATTGAATGACAAGCGAGCTGTGACAAGAACTCTGTCTTTGACACCTACCTGCGTAATTTCACGTTGTCCATAACAGTCAGCAGTAGGACGGATGAAGCTTAAAGATTTGGCAGCTTTATAAAGTCCCACATTAATAGATATCTATCCATAGAAGTCGCTGTCAGCCATTCATTGCGGGTTTTAGCGAATTGCCCGGCTAGCTAGCGAGCTAACTGAACGCCACGGATAACATTACTCTCGCCTGATAAAAGTCATTTTCACCCGCGATAGCACCTCCATTTAAATGTCCTTTCTTGGTACGCACCGATAAAAATGCGGTGTTACAACATAAAGAGCCGGATTTCAGATAGAAGAGCAAACACTTTATTCTATTACTTGCCTTGGAGCTGGTTCTGTCATGTTCGTTCTCCTCTGTCCTTCTCTGTGGAGACGGAGTTATGATTTTTTTTTTTTTTTTTTTTGTCCATCCCGCCGATTCTCGCGCCCAGCCCTCTGCGCAGGCGGCCTCACCGCTGATTGGTCAAAACCGGAGCTTCTCAAAACAAGGGGTCGATGCTCAAAACTGATTGGTCAAAATCGAGGCGTACGTCGTGACTCATTGGTTGAATTATTCACATGCTTTTATTTTATTGGTTGAGAAGTTGGAGGAGGCGGGCGTTCAAATACACAACTGTACTGTACTGCGTTCTGCAGCTGAATGGATCTTTTCATCAAGACTGTGGCTTAAAAAGGTGCAGAACCTTTTGGGGGCCCTTTGGTTAGGGCAGGGGTAAATTCCACCCCCCAAGTTATAGCAATATATTAATATTAATATAAGCACTATATTGCAAAATTACAAGGTACATACCTTTAGTGCCACGTGATTGTACACGAATCACAACTATATGACACATTATTATGGCTCCTTAAAATAAACAATCAACACTTGAGTTAAACGGATATATTATGTTTGCTATATTTAGTAAAACGAGGATACTGTTTGAACTTTATATCGTTACAGCATTAAATAAAGAATTCCTTCACTTTGGGCAGCTGTGTAGACCTCTAGTGCTTTGCTGCCATCTTGTGGACTTAAAATTCCGACTTCTGAATGGTAGTTTTCCTCAAGAAAAGTTTTTTTAATGCAGTAATAGATTTATAAATGCCATTATGGAAATTTCTCCAAAAATATGCGCCTTTAGGCATTTATTCAAATTATAATTTTCATAATGCAATTTATTCCGTTTTTTTTTAATGAGATTAGATAATAATAGTTAATGCATACTTGCATGAAAACCGCCAAGGATTGTTTTTAGTCACATCAGTTTTTTTTTTTTTAATTTTTTTTCCACTTGAATACTTAAAAATATGTTTTAAAAGTCCTTCTGGTCCACACTTATTTGGATTTTGGTTTTCAAATGTTGTGTTTAGAGACGCGGAAGTCCGGAAATGCTTCTAATGTTTAGAAAAATAAAAGTCGCGCACATAGCATAATTTCTCCAAAAATAAAAAGTCCGTGATATTTTTATTCTATATTAATAATTAAATTTAGTACACTAGACAGTGATTGTTAATCATCCTAATGGACCGTAATGTGACGATTCCATTGTGTGTTGGGATCTTGTTTTGAAAATTAAAACCGGAAGTTTGGTTGCCCTTGTTTGGTTTTGACAGCAGTGCTCGTGGCGGCGCGGTCGCGTGACGAATTTCATTGGAACTTTTTCAACGGGCAGGAAGGGAAGTCTCACTTTCCTGCGTCTCTCGTTTTCTCTGACGTTTCACGAGCAACGACCAAGTTGAACTTTTTTGTTTAAGAGCCACTTTCAACGAATAAACGAAAGTTATCGAACAAAACGCTTCCAGTGGACTTAAGAAAATAGACGGGCAGCATCAAACGCATTCGAAAGGTACGTGATGTTCACGTTCAGCGGTTACGTCCTTGTGAACGTTTCTGTCTCTTAAATGTAACATTTTGTGGCGTTCACGAATAATTCAGTCCTGGCAGTAACATTTCCTTCTGAAAGATTACTAAAAATGTATCTGAACCGGCGGACTTGTGTAACATCTGTTCAGTTGAGCTTTGTTTTTATTTTTTGTGTGTGTGGTCAGCTCCTCCCTGCTCTGGCTCACATTTTCCCTGTTCATGCCTGGAGAAACTTTTTTCCAGTAATACACGTGATCTTAGACCATAACCAAGTAGTAGCAGGGAGGTTTTCCCTCTAATTTGTCATTTACAAGTCAAATAAGCATGAATGCTGCCCTTATGTTATATATATATATAAATATATATTTATTCATAGTTCCATCTCACTTGTTGTTTTCCCAAACTTTGCACCAGTTTTGACCCAAAACAGGAGTGTGACAGGCTTGCAACTCCAGTTTTTGCTTGCTAAAATACAAAAAAATGTAAGCAAAATCAAATTAAGCAAGTATATAATAACACAAACAGCTTTAGCATCCTTTTAGCTTTATTTCTCATCATTTTATGATGACTGTTTAGTTTTTATGTCTTGCAACAATAATGGCAAATGTTATTTGCAGCCATTTTTACTTTTCGCAAAAGTGTGGTCCCAACAACTTTAGTAACCCATTATTGTAAATTATGGTTTGTAAACCATAGGGGGGAAGTGAAAGCTTTTATTTTCACATTACTGGAAATAAAACACACAAAAATACTGACCCTCATAATCCAAGAAAAATGCATCATGTACAATAAAAAAAAACACAAATTGTTACATTTCTTTACTTCTCTTTATACTAATTTAAAACGATAAAGTTGTTTTTAACACATTGCTTGTAAAGATATGCAAATCAGTTGTAATTGTGGGGGTGTAGTGTTAAAATAGAATATCTCAAATCAGTATTTGTTGTATTTTAAAACACATCCATTTACATCTAAAACTTTCTTATACCAAGCATAAAATGTCAAAACTTTATTAAGTCCTATTTGAGTTTAAACCTTTGTTATAGAAGTAAAACACAAGTTTAAATTACATATTGAAAGCTTAGTGAAGGTTTCTAATGAGCACTTTTAAGTAAATGCTTATAAAACAATAAAATAAACTCTTTCGGCAGTAGTTTGCTGTCTGGTGTTGCAATTTAATGACAAAACCAGAGGGATCGCTGAGGAAAAGAAGTTAAAATGTTACACATAAAGCAGAGAAGCTGCAAAGATTTACTCCAGTAAGGTCATCTTGCTTTCTGGGAGCTTTTATATCCCAGAGCTGTCTGTGCTCAGCTCAGACTTGTTTTTTAAAGGAAGTCGGTGACACTGCGTGCAGTCTGGACTTTAAGGTTAGTTTAAGGATTTGATTCAGCTCGGCTTCATGTATTGGGTTAAACGGGGTTCACACTTCTCCAGCTGCACTTCCTCTCTTGCATTTTAATTAGATGCTAACGCAAGAACGGTCCAAGAAGTTTAGGTTTAGTCACGAGTCGAAACAGCTGTTGAATTAAAGTGTATAATTTTTGGCGCTCACAACGGATTCCTGAGTGTTTTTCCTTGCTTGCATGTTCACCACTCAGTTTATATGAAAACACATGCCTGACTGAGCTTTTAAGTCAGATTCCCCACCTAGCTGTCACTTCAGTGCTGCTTTGCTTTCTCGCTCACATTCCTTGAAATGTGTGTTACGAAACCGTTCGACGTCCCCACAAATTGTCCACCGGCGAGGATGTTTGAGTTTAGCAGGAAGAAAGCTTTTTATGATCCTGTGTTGTAGCCCAGCCTCCTTGTTCCTGTCGGGACAAGTTAGCTCATGTTGTGGAGAAAAAGCTGAGTTTGAACTGCGCCTTGGGAATGCGTTGAACACTAATAGAGTTTCTTTTTCTGTGTCCATTCTGCTCGACGGTGACTGCAGGTGTCGTGATCAGCAGCATTCCACTTGTAGGAGCATCGATATCTGCTCAAAACGCGCGCAACGCAACATCGTTTGTGGCTTATCGCCACTTTCGACAAAAATATTTCTGGGATGTGAAAAAGCGAGTCCTACCCAACGCTGCTCTGAGCCGTTTAACCGTGACAACAAAAGCAGATGCAACACAGCTCAGGGAAGTGTCCAGACAGTTTGCAAGAAGCTCCGATTTTTAAAACCGAGATTGACCCAATTTACAGCTGGATGGCACAAAATCTAGCTTTTAAATGAAAAAAAAAAAACATTAAAATTATTGCAAAAGTTGCCACCTTAAGCTCTTTTTTTTAATAGGCTTATTTTGTTTAAAATGAAAGTGATATCAGCTTTTAAACAAATCCTCCCAGTTTGTCTTCATGAATGGAGCTGGCAATGAAACCGCAACATGAAGTCATAGAGGTGCAGAGACCATGAAGATGTCTCGCATTTTAAAGAGGAACGCTCTTTTTTCATTTTTTTTTCTCCCCGTTGCCTCACCCCAACGTGAGCGGAATGACACACACCTTCAGGATGCATCCAGAATCAATGAGGAGGCTGAGAAAGTCCACACAGAGGTCTCGAGTGTGTTCTCTGCAAACAGCAGGGAGATTTTAGCTGCTAAACAAACAAGGCTGACCTCACCGTGCTCCAACAATGGACGAGTCAGAGCTGCAGACAAAGAGCTTTGTTGTAGATCAGACGTTATACAACTCCCAGTGAAGGATGCGCTTCTCTGAGGGACGTTCACGTAGATCACAGAACTAAATATTTACAGTACATTTAATATGCATCAAGCTCGAGTCTACCATTAAATTCCTTTTGCTCTTCGTAATCAGGGAACTTAACCTAAAGGTCAACAGAAGCCAGACGAAGTTTATTACACTCCAGCAATAAACTAGTAACCTTTTGAATAACACCAGATTCAGGTATTTAGGAAAAACATCTCTACTAAGTGCAAAACTAAGTGACAACTTGCATGTATTTATATTTCAGAGTGATGAATGCATGAAGAGGCTGTACCTCTTACACAACGTAGACTGAGTACCCCATGCTAAAAAAAACTGAGGACATGATATTCATGCTCACAGGAAGGAGTGAGGAACCTGTTTGCCCAGTTGTCCAAACCAACCTGCTCGCGCACAGTGCAGCTCACTGACTCACTTAACGCTGCTGGTGTCATAACATAACTTACGGATCCTTAGACAGATGCTGTTAAATACAAGAACAGCGTCGGCGTTTACTGAGCTAGGCCTTAAGTCTTGGATCACATGCAACAAATGTAGTCACGTTGCAAAATACGTTGGTGCTGAATGTTTTGTGTGGTGTGTTTTCGTCTTGTATTTACAGGGAAAACCCCTGGTTGGCTTGATTAACTAAAGCAAAAATAAAGTTTGACTAATGCATTAAATAATTCTTAAAAATGAAAATAACCCTGATAAACCGATTAGTATTAATACACAGAAAGGGAGAAATATGGGGGTAGTACTATCTTGTTAAAAAGAACACTTAGTTATGTATACATACCGGTAAGTAGCTAACATGTATTTAAAAAAAATATATATATACAGTATCATCATCACCTTTATTAAAGACACAAGTAGGTCCATATAAAAAAATGCTTATAAATAATATAAAAATATAAAAAAAATCACAAATGTACAGTAAGTCACAGATTTACAAAAAGGCTCCACATTCTGGACTTAAACTTGACGGAGCTTTGTGCAATATCCGTTAGTATCAGGATGATATTGTTTACAGAATCATGTCATCTCCACATAAATCTGTACATAAGGTTATGTAATGCAGCATAAAAAGTGGAGACGCCAACAAATAACTAACTTGCACTAGTCCGTCTCGGATCCTAAGCAGCATCCTCGTTCCGTCACTATACGCCTCTTTGAGTTTCTTAATACTGCTTTGCTTGTATCGTCTCCACAAGTGGGGAATATACAAAGGAGTTACAAAGAGACACTTTCAGAGAGAGAACACATCCTGAACTTGCGTACAAGCATGTTAGCTTGTGCATATATTAAACGACGTTGTCTGTAAATGTCCACATCATCAGCCAGATCATCTGTTATATAATGTCCCATGAACACACACACACATATATATATATATATATATATATAGTATACTGTATAAGCAATAGGGGTGTAAATCACCAGCTTTACCACGATACATAATGGGACCCCGTGTACATAATTTCGCTCCACCACATGTACCACATGAGGTGCGAATGACAATAAAGAAACTCTGACTCTGATAAGATATTATATTGATTTGTTTGTATGACGACACGATTTTTCTCGATATCACAAAGTGTCACGATACGATTTCGGTTCTGTTCGATTCGCAAGTCTGCGATCGATATATTGCGATAAATAATAAATAAATGTACAAAAACAATTCAAATATGATTTAAGCATTTTATTTCTTTTGTTACAGGCACCAGATATTTAAATAAAAGCCATTTTTTTCTTAATGAAAAATAAAAATAAATGACCTGTTCACTATAAGTCTCACATTTCTCGTGTTTAAGTGCATTTTTTTTAAACCAGTTAACTTAAAAGTGCCCTGATTACCTTTCAGTTATAAAGAAACAAAAATAGATATTAAGCTTACATAACATGACTATCTTTGCATGACTATCCATGTTGCTGAGGCGGCCGCGCACGGAAATGGTGATACAGATGTGCCTTGGGAATTTCAAAATAAAAGCATATTTTAAAGATGACGATATGAATCGATGTTTTAGTTTTGCCATGATATGATTGAATCATTAATCATTTAATTGATATAAATTGATGTATTGTTACACCCCTAATAAGCAAGTAGGTGCATAAAAAGGCCTTTCTAATGACAAAAGCATTTACCCGTAAATAATTTGGCTGTACTCAGGAGGAAGACGAGCTCTGTTTATGTTGTGCTGGTCTGTGCTACAGAAAGCCCAACTGGTTGCAGTTTTTCAGGACAAAGAGTTTCATGTGGGACACACATGGACCAGTGACTCAAGGCACGACAGTCTGACAAATGTGGCGACCAGAAGAACACCGGTTTCACTTCCTGGTTAACAGAGCGTCTGTTCTCTTTTTGTTTTTTTGCAGCAGCGACGGAGCATGAGGATTGACTGTACACTTGAAGCCTTCTCCTGGATCACTCATTACTGTAAGACTCTGAGCATCGAAGGCCGACAGATCTCAAGATGGAGGAGGAACCCAGCCTCCCCAATGTCAGCATACCCAGCCATGACGAGCAGAGGGACAAGAAGAAGCGTTACACGGTGTGTGTTTCTCTATATACATGTTTGCTTTACGGTAAAGCCAAATGTGCACAAGCTAAATGGGTTATTGTTTTGTATTGTTCTTGTTGCTTCTTCTTGCAGGTTTACAAGGTGATAGTGTCTGTTGGGCCACAGGAATGGTTCGTTTTAAGACGATATGCCGAGTTTGATAAACTCTACAACACAGTGAGTTGAGGAACAAGATTTTTATTTCACAATAAACTGAAAAGCATAATTCTCTTCATAGTTAGGCAGTTACACGACTCTCTTTTGGTCTTCTTGCCTTTTATCACAGCTAAGAAAACAGTTTCCATCTATGAATTTGAAAATCCCTCCAAAGAGAATATTCGGGGACAATTTTGACCCAGGTTAGTGTTTTGCAGTACGCCATCATACATACAGGGTGTCCATGATCCTTGTTTGCGCCGTTTTATTTTCTCATCTGCATCTATCCAACAGACTTTCTCAGGCAAAGAAGAGCTGGTTTACACGAGTTCATTAAGCGGATTGTCTCACATCCTAAGGTTTGCAACCAGTAAGTGAATTCACATACACTGCTCACTTTATGTTTTCTTCACAGATTTGACGAGAAATGCGTTTAAATAAGCTTCACTTTAGAGTCAAATGTTGAGTTTTGCTTTAAGAGTGCTTTTTTGTGCTTTTGTCATTTCGTTTATTTTTTTTATCTTAAAATTTTACAGCCCAGATGTAAAAAGTTTTCTTCTAATGGACCGAAGGAAACTTTCAGATCCCTCTGAGGATGAAGACGATAAAGTGAGTTGGTGGTTTTTCCCCAATATTTATGATTTATAGTTTTTACTGCTTAATGCATTTTACAACTAAACCTTAATCAGATGGAAAAAAAATCTAATTATCGCGAATAATTTATAGGGATGCACGATATTATCGGCATGGTATCGACCGATATTAGCGATAAAGTTAAATATCGGACATCAGCCACTCCATCAAAATAACTCACCAATATAAAAGGTGCTGTTTATATATCTGTTTTTGTATGACAACCCAACAAGGATACCTGCAGTGCCGACACAAGGTTATGACATCATACGCGCCGTTGAGTTTAGATTTGTGAAAATGTACAAATTTGCACAGTTCAAGTGTTGTCGTTGTTAGAGAGAAGAATAAATTTGACATTAAACATAAACCAAGTTGAAGTGTTACATCATTTTCAGCCCCCTTTTTGCCATCTGCATTTGGTAACGGTCCAAATGGACAAAGACAATGCAGACTAATGTAGTATTTTAATTCCACAGCAGAAAAAGCTAAAAAAAAATATCTGTTATTGGCCAAATAAGTTTGAACATATCGGATATCAGACAAAAATCCAATATCGTGCATCCCTAATAATTTGAACTGTGAATGCATCAAACGTCGTCTCGTCTTGGTGGCTGATCAGGATCGTATTTTTCTGGTGTTTAACAGAACGGCTCTAGCTCAAGAAACATTAACCTGGGTCCCTCTGGAAATCCACAGTAAGTTCCCAGTTTACGTTCAACTTATTACTTGCTGTTTTGTAATAAAGTAGCCACAGACATGTTCCATTTTATTTCAGGGCCAAGCCTACAGACTTTGACTTTTTAAAAGTTATAGGAAAAGGGAGTTTTGGGAAGGTATGTAGTTTTCTTTACCTTATTTGTTTTATTGCATAGGAAACGTGTGTCCCGAAAAACTTAGTTATTTTAGTCACTTAGACGTATGATTTGTCTACATGGGAAACGTTTAGAAAGTTTTTATCTGTTTGTTGTTATGGTAGCAACAAGTTTTAGTTCTGCTTGTCTTGCTTTTCCCATGCAGGAAGTGAGAATCTGACAGGGGATTACTATGGTGACTTCTTTCATGCCATGTTTGACCAGGCTTGTTTCCCTTGTAATACAGGTTTTCCTTGCAAAACATAAACACGACGGAAAGTGTTATGCGGTCAAGGTTTTACAGAAAAAGTTCATCGTCAACAGAAAAGAGGTGACTTCTCCTCAATGAGTGATTTGTTATTAAAATTGTGGTTGTATGAGTCGCACCACCTTTAAATTGATTCTCCCATCAGCAAAAACACATAATGGCAGAGCGCAATGTGCTGCTGAAGAATGTGAAACACCCCTTTCTGGTTGGGCTCCATTATTCCTTCCAGACCGCAGACAAGTTGTACTTCGTCTTGGATTTCATCAATGGAGGAGAAGTGAGTTGTTTCTGTTTGAATAATGAGGTCACACCAGAATGACTCGCACGGCTTGGCTGTGGAATGAAGTAACACGAGATCTGAGTACTAAAACAACATGGAATGAAATAACCTCAGAGCTGTACTTTGGTTGGTTGACACTTCTGCATGTGTGAAGTCTTGCTGGAAATTGCAGCATCACTCAGTGTGAAAAATGGCACCCCATGTGGACTTCCGTTGTGTGCTTATTTTGTAACGCTGCGATTTGTGACTGTGAAAATGACTAATAGTCTGTGTAAATCTGCCTCTTGCAATCCTGAAGATTACTACAGAGGCATGTCAGATAAAATCAAATCACTGTTTACATCTGTATTAGTACTTTCAAGGTTTTTGAATCCCAAAACAACTTTTAAGAGATTATATCATATAGTTAGTTTAATTTACGTTTAATGATAATTTATTAAGTTTAAACCAAGTTTGTATTTTTACGTTCCAGACACCCAATAAGTGAAAAACCACGAAGCAGGAATGCTATTTTTTTAAACACTTCAGTTAAATTGACATTGATTTCTGAGTTGAAACAACAAACCAAAACAGTTCAGTCAGCTAATAAATCTAAATCAACTAAACTAAAGCAAAAGTTTATTTAGCAAGAGTTTATTAATCAAGATAACTTGATGATGTTTATTCACTCAACTTCAAATTCCAAGGCTTTAGAAACCCGTACTCACCAGCCATGGTCCAGTTCTCATCGGCTCTCTGCAGCGAGGCGCTTTTAGAGAGAGCCGGACCTTCGGATAGCCAGCATAAAACCACACAGCGGTCCCGATACAGTCCAAATCCAGATGAAAAAAGTTCCCACGAGCTCCGGAGAAAACACCGGACATCCAAGCAATGCCTCCCCGCTCATGGGGCCTCAAGGGCCGGCAAGCAGCGCTCAGATTGACAGATGAGGCTGGAAGTAGTTCTGGTCCGGTTCCGTACAGCTCTCTGCATCCACTGAGCACCGAAGTCACTATGACTAAAGACTGAACTTTTTTGGATCGGATCAAAACTTTCCCTCCATTTCAGCTGAAAGCAACTTTGGCTTCTGGGTAATGTAGTCCTTTTTTAGTGGCGATACAGTGTAGGCTTATTTAGAGAAAACTACAAAATGGCGCACCTGTCCGAAGTATTTTTTCCGTTAACTTTTTACAGTATCCCATACTATCCCAATCACATGAGTAATATTAAAGTTGACAATCATGTGTCATGTACAATCTTTTTTTTTCCTCGTGTACGATCTTACTTTGAAAAGCCGCGAAAGCCAAACCACAAAGTAGCGAGGGACTACTGTAGTCGCAAAACTCACCAAAATATTCTTGTTTCAGCTTTTCTTTCATCTTCAAAAAGAGCGGACCTTTCCAGAGCCCAGAGCAAAGTTTTACATCGCTGAGATGGCGAGTGCGCTGGGATATCTGCATTCTTTAAACATTGTTTACAGGTATGTTGTTGATTGAGCTGGTTCTGAAATATTTAATCATAGTAATATCTGGTATCAACTGATAAGAACTATGTTAAAAGCTGTAGAAATATTTAAAATCTCTCATTATTAAAAGTCAACCTCACTTTACATCAATATGCATTTTAGGTATTGGTTTAAAATTGTGCTCACTTTGATTTTTTTTTTTTTCCACAGAGACTTGAAACCAGAAAATATTCTGCTTGACCATGAGGTGAGCGTTTATTTTGTTACTCCTTGATCATACTGGGTTAATATCCCCATCTTTCTCCAGCTGGGCTTTTGCACTGACCTTACCTTATACTGTGCAGCAGACAGTTCACTGGTTCATACTTGTGCCCGTTGTAATTTCCAGCTGGTCAGAGTGCATGTGATGGGATTAGTTCTTAATGAATGTGCTGCTTAGCCTTGCTGAGACGATGAGGGGACTGAATGGGACTGACTGAGCTACGCTGCAGCCAACATTCCTGGCAACAATGGCCGCCTCAGTGCACGGGGATAATGAGCTGCTCGTGTGGCACATTATCTCTAAAAACGTTCATGTCCTCTCTTTGAAGGGACATGTTGTCCTGACGGACTTTGGATTGTGCAAGGAAGGCATTTCCCCGTCAGATACCACCACTACGTTTTGTGGAACCCCTGAGGTACGACATGTTTGCCAACTACCTGTTTTGCCACTCGTCATTTATCTATTTATCTTCTTTTACGTCATATTACATTCCAAACTTCCACAGTATGAACTACTGATGAACATAAAGTGTGTTAAAAGAAGTATTTTGTTTATTTACTCTACTTATAATTAATATTTTGTTTGTTGGGGGTTCAGTACTTGGCTCCAGAGGTGCTGAGGAAGCAGGCTTATGATAACACCGTGGACTGGTGGTGTCTGGGGTCAGTGCTGTATGAAATGCTCTTCGGTTTGGTGAGTTTTGCTTTGAATCCTTTTATTCCTAAATATTTTAGTATCTGTTGACCTTATTTTGAATCATGTATTTGTGCTACCACTCCCACCTGTTCATTTAAGTGTCTAAATCTTATTTCTCATGTCCTAGCCGCCGTTTTATAGCAGGGACACGCATGAGATGTATGACAATATTCTCCACAAACCTCTGGCGAAGCGTCCCGGTGCGTCCAGCACAGCCTGGTCTCTCCTTCAGGGCTTATTGGAAAAGGACAGCATAAAAAGACTGGGTTCTCATGATGACTTTGTAAGTTTTCCTATTCTTAACAACAATGGTTAAATCATGTCATCTGGACCAGTTTCTTTAAGTGAGAAACGTTTCGTCCCCCATCCAGAGGACTTTGTAAGTTTGAGTCCTGTCAACCAGATCTGTCCCATAGGTAGGTAGCCTTCATTGCTGTGTTTCAAGACAACCTCCTGTTGGAATCTCAGAAGTAGGCTTTTAACATCATCTTTTTAATCATTTTTGTTGTTATCTACCTGGATGATTGAGCTTACAAAACTTTTTCTGAACCACTTTGGCCTTGGTTGTCCTCAGGCTGTTTCTGTAAGTAGCAAGTTGGCCATCTGACCTAAAACATTTGATTGCTGTACATGCTGATTGATTGTTTTGGATGGGTGTGTTTTGCACGTGTTAAAAGTCTACTTCTGAGATTCCAACAGGAGGTTGGCTTGAAACAGCAATGAAGGCTATTATGGGACAGATCTGGTTGGCAGGCCGTAGACTGAGGAAGTCCTCTGGATGGGGGCCAAAACATTTCTCACTTAAAGAAACTGGTCCAGATGACACGATTCAACCTTTTTTTGTTGTTATCTACCTGGATGATTGAGCTTGCAACCCTTTTCCTATTGTTCTGCTATTTTTAAAGGTTTAGCACCCTCTAGTGGCTCATGTGTGAATCTACAACGTTGGTTCTGATCCTTGCAACAAAATCAATCTTATTGATCTATATTTTTATTTCAGACCGAGATTAGAGCACACAGCTTCTTCTCTTCCATCATCTGGAATGATCTCGAAGAAAAGAAGATCCCTCCTCCGTTTAAACCCAACGTGGTAAATATAAATGTATTTTTTATATAATCAATAAAAGCTATGGAGCTTTGACGATTTTACTTATCGTGTCATAAATGTAAAAGGTTTTATTCACAGTATCTTGGTGATATTTTTTCGATCTTCTTTAGCTTCTTGAGCAGGGTCCTTCTAAATGATCCACTGCCACCAGAAGTTGTGTTTATAAAATGACAAAAGGTTATTGCAAGTTCCTTTGACAAACTGTACTATAATTATCAGTCTTTTAATTTGATTGCATTTGTACACATTTAGTCTTAATAAAAATCTGTGGAAATATTATTGTAATATATTGCTTTTGTTATCAGGGTCACCTTTAAAAATACATATTTTTATTGGTAATTAGTTTCATGGCTGCACCCATGCTTTTATTCTTCTCCATTTTGTTGTTACAGGCTTCTTCCAGTGATATCTCAAACTTTGATCCTGAATTCACAGAGGAGGTGGTTCCCAACTCCATCTGCTGGACTCAAGAGCGTTCTATTGTCACTGCCAGTGTTATGGAGGCCGATGATGCCTTTGTGGGTTTCTCTTACGCCCCTCCTTCTGATGACTCTTTCCTATATTCTTCATGAGGTCTTCAGTTGCCTTAACCGTTGTAACATTTTTTCACTAAAGGGAAAAGTTTGTACAATGAAATGTTTCATGTTCTGTGATGCCAAAGCACCCAGCGGAGAATAACCTGCACTTAAAACAGATTTTCATTGAAAGAAAATCTTTGTATTTTACCTATTTGTATTTATATAAATATCTATAACAGATGCTATATTTTAGAATTTTGCACCATTTGCTCTATCAGTGTGATTTCAGGTCCTTTGTAAATGAGCCTTTAAAATGCCTCAAATGTATGCTTGATGTAACTCAATAAGCAAACATCTGAAAACTTGAAGAGTTCACTGGAATTAAAGCAACATAATTTGACTGTCAGTGGAGTTGTTTGTTCAGAAAAAAAAGCATGCACCAATAATATTTACTAATCTGTGGAAATTACTTGAGAGACCACTGAATAAAGCATTTTTGTTTATAAAGGTATAGGTCATATTTGTTTAAATACAAAGTATTCTATGCTTATCTTTCATTGTTTGTCCTTTTTTTTGCTTCAATATTATGTATATATATATATATATATATATATATTTACAGTACATGTACAGTAATAGTTTGTGTGTGGTTATACGTAAATAAGCATCTTATTTTGTTAAGTATATTGTATTTCCGCTAATGTGAATGGTCACCATAGCAACCAGTTACCGTGGTAACGGAAGCTAGAAGACAGCGGTGTACAAAGTTTGGCTTCTGTCACGTTTTAGTAACCATGGCCGACCTTTTTTTCTTAAAAGAGTCCATTTTGATATATTTAGACAGAAGTGGCGGTCTTGAGAAACTTATCGACGACTGCAAACTTTTAAACGGTACCGTGTTTCATTTGTCTTGGGTTAAAAACCTCCCACACGTACTTCGCTTATGAAAATTAGCTTGTGTTTTTTTTCCTTCTTACCAGACCCCCAACAGAACGAGGCAGCCTACAGGTTCAAAATTAATGTTAATCCTTCAGATTTAATCGAAATGGATCCTGTGCTGGGTGACTGCGTTCTGCATGACCCACTCAGAGCCACGGTTCTGTTTCAGTCAGTAAGTGGCTAACCTAGCTAAAATGATATTAGCCAAATTTCACTGTTAGCATACCTACACGCCCTGGTTTGTTGATTTCCCACATGTAGGTTTGCTTCCTGGCAATGAAGACTCTTTCACTCACAGAAAAAATACAAACAGCGAGCCAGGTATGACAACGCATCCTACAAATAACACTATTTATTTTGCTGATAGAAAACGTTTGATTAATTTATCTCACACAGTACTGTTGTGTCTTCTGGTATTTTACTTTTAAGGTGAACGTCTCATTGAACTTCACACACCTGCCTTCATTCCCTGAATACATGCTGGACCTTTGCAGTTTCCCTCGTGTTTATGGTCCAATGAGACCTAAATCCATGGAGGGGGTGGTCATTGCCATGACAAGAATTACAAAGTACACCCAGGGAGCCAGGTTCCTCTGTACTAATGATAACTGTCTCTGTTCTACAGGTACATTTTACCCATTAAATTAAAAAATTGTTTTTTTTTTTAAGTTACTTTTATCTTGAACCACCGCTTTTGTCTTGATATTTTGATTTTAAATTTATTGCAATTTTTATGTTCATGGGAAAAAAGTATTTATTTTATGGCATCAGGGGCTTACATTCAATTAAGGTACTGGTATTTTCTTTATTTTTCCACTTAGTAACTCAGCAAAGAAACAATTTTATTCAGTGTTTTAGGACAGTTTGTTCATAGAAGTCTATTGTAAAGTAATAATTACAATTACTCTGACAGAGTTTGTCAGGCAATACTCTGACAAATACTTTTTTTATACTTGAAATTTGGACTCTAGGGTTCCACTACATACGAGTCCACATACCTGGAGCCACAGAGTCCGCTACTGTGAGAAATGACTTCACCTGCATGATTTGCAGCTCCCAGCTGAAAGAGGATGTGAAGTTCAGAGTTTTAGGAGGTGACGGTTCGTCAGTGTGTTGGACGCTGTGTGCATTGTTATATTGTGTGCGAGTATGTGATGTGTTAGTTTTGGCAAGCAGACAAACAGCTGGTGGAGCTGATCCACGTCAAAGCATTAGATGTTCTACGAGGACATCAACAAGACTCGACGAGATACCAGTCTGTCACCCTGTTTCTGAGAGGTACGTTTATCAATCTAAGAGTATGTGGGCCATGACTTACAAACTGTCAAATATACTGTACTGTATAACAAATGACATTTTCTGCTCATTGTAAAAGCAACAAATGCAAAAAAAAATATACTAAGAATTGAAAGAACACAAAGTAAAAGGAATAATACAAATTCATTCATTCAACCTTTATTTAAACAGGTTAGTCCCATTGAGCCACGAGGACTCATTTCATTTGCAAGAGTAGAATACCAACTGTTCATATCAGAGTGACTTTCTTTTAACAAAAATACAAAACTATCACTTAACCTATATCATTTAACCCATACAGAGTTTACTTTTCTATGAAAGTTCAAATGTGGAACTACTTTTGCCAACAGTATTTTGTGCTTTTTAACATTACGATCCAAAGAACACCTTTATATCACATAAAATCATTCCCCACTTACGTTTATCTGAAAATGGTCAATCCTCTTATATATATATATATATATAATCCTCTTATATATATATATATATATATATATATATATATATATATATATATATGGGGCTGCAGTAGCCCTGAGGTTGCATCAGGAAGAGCATCTAGCATAAAACAAATGGCCAAATCTTTTATGCAAGTTTTCTCACTATGGTGACCCTTGTAGAAGGAAGCAGCCAAAATAAACTTACTTATTTTACCTTTATTACTTTGTGAACATAACATTTGCTGACCAAAGTGTAAAACAACCCATCTTACTGAAATGTAAAAGTGCATTATTTGTCTGTACAGTGAGATTCTCGCCCTGGTTTGAATAGCTTCTATTTGCAGTCATATATATTGAGATTCCGTTTTTATTGTTTTCTACTTGAGGTTCAGTCCGAGGCATAAAATTAGTGGGACCCCTGACAGTTGAGCAAATCTCAACCCCGGGATTACCATATTCTGTTGAAGCGGTCCTGTGGAGGAACTTAATACAGCAGGCTCCTGTTACTAAACATATATGTTAATAAGTGCACGGAGCACTCATTAGTTAGCTGTGCTCTTCACACACAGAGGAATCTTTGTTCAGAGTGCCTCGTTCTGTTTGTCTTGGCAGAGCTTATTAGAGCTCTGCATGTTTCTGTTTTTAGACGCTGGAGAACAACCCGAGTAATTGCTTTGTTTCTTTCTCGCACAGATGAGCTGTGTAACTCGATGAGGATCGGACGACTCTACAGGGTGATAGGCATTCCTGCTCTTGTGCATCAGTGGTCGAACATTATTTGGAGTGTAGAAGCAAACAGTGTCCAACCGTGGGAGCCAAAGTGTACGGCAGAAACGAGCTGATAAATCCTATGATGAACAGGAGTCCTCCACATCTTGATCTTTATTGTGTTTATTTGTTGTAAGCTTATTTTAAGCATGAACTATGTTTAATAACTCTACCTATAGGTTGCCCTGAAGTCTCTCACAGATTCCAGGAGCTGCTGCATTTGACAGCCTCTTCTCCCTGGAGGTTTTCTGCCATTGTAGCTCACTGCTTTGGGTTGGAGCTGGCTCCTCCTGGTTTATACAACACGCTAAAGCTGGGCTTGCTGCTCAGCTTGGTGCAGACCAGAACAGATGCAAACAACACATTTCACGGTTTCGATGTCCTTGTTGTTACAAGTGATACGCTCATACTTGACAGGTAAAGCAATCCTGGATTACACATCCTGATACTTTTTAAGCAGGTCCATCCTGGTTGCAGCCTGTGTATTTGAAGCTTTAATATTTTTCCTCACCTCTTTGTGTCAGACTAATGGAGTACAGCTTGAATTTGGTGTGCCGTGGGGTCAGGCATCAGGCCTCAGGGGAGTTGTTTACAAGTCTGTCCCGAGACGAACACGGAGCAGGAACTGCGAACATCCATGCTGGTTCTGCATTACTCGCTACTGGGGGTATTTGCATGCTGGGAGATCTGGGTTGTTATAAAAAGGACAAACTGGATCACATTCACTCAGGTACAGTAGTTCGAGACGTTTCTGTCAGCTGTAAAATTAAAGATAATTTCTGTAAGTAGTGTTTTCTGTCTTTGTCTTCATTATTATCCTTCAGTTCTGGAGAGCCACTCGGTGTCCGTGTTCATTCCTGGGAAGAAATATGGCGAGGATGCTGACCAGCAGCTTTCCTTTCCAGTCCAGTGCAGCTTTTGGGGCCTCACAGACTCCTCGCAACATTTTGGGAAGACGGACTTTGCTGTACTGGGAACTGCAGTGAGTACGATGTCACCTGCATGTTTAATTAAAAAAATGTTGGAAGAAATGCTGATGTAGATCCGTCTCTGTTGTTGACAGGAAATGGGTCCTGTCCCTGCACAGTTTGCAGAAGCGTTTGGTCTCGTCATTCAGTGCAGAGACAGGGTTGGAGAACAAGCCGCATATGCCCAGAGTGTCCACACCCTCCAACAGGCAATGCAGCCTGGAACACACACCTTCCCATCTTACTGGGACTTCTCAAACAAAGATTACAAAGAGGTTTATAAACATTTAAAAAGAAAACGTTAGTACCATGGCTTTGGAAATGTAGAAACTGAGGTTTGTTGTTCTCTTACAGCTGGTAGCTCTTAGCAAAAATTTGCAAGTGGAGCTCAGCCCTGAAGCAGAGAAATTAATCCACGGTTACTACATGGCGAGTCGACGAGCTCGGACCCAGAGTCAGGGCGTCAAGATTTCACTGGCTTCTGTCAAACTATTGCAAGTTATTTTTCCATTTATACCACAAACTTGTTTGTTTTGCCTGGTGTAATACCAGTCAACCAGTAGATGGCCCTCTAACCCAGAACATGCTCCTGAATGACCATTTCTCACTGAATTATGACAACTGTTTACACTGTGGTTGACTTATGTAGAACTATGAGTTTTCACTAACTAGACAGGATACGACAAGTTTTAATTTAAAAACACCATATATGGTATACATTATCCACTTAAATCATAATTGTGTACAATTATTTGGAGTCATTTGCCTTTTGTCACAGGCTCTCCTTGGCTGAGGCCCACTGCAGGTTAAGCCTACGGACTCGAGTCCTGGAGGAAGACGCTGTGGTTGCTGTGCTCCTGTGTGAAAACTCAGTCACTCTCAAGCACGGTAGTTAGACGTCTTTACATCAAATAATTTTGTGCCTAATGTTTTAATAAACATGCAGTTTGTGTTAAATCATAAGTTAATACCATTAGAATAGGCTGTATTGCTGTTTACTGTGCACTAATCTTATTGTTCCGAGTGCATTTTCAGCGCTGTTTGTTCTTACAGGGGCCTCGGCTCTGATCATTCCATCAGATGCAGCGTTTCCTTGCGACATGGGAGACATGGAGGGTTTGCACAGGAGAGACACGATCCTGGATGAGCTTCATCAAAATATTTTACGCTTCATCTACACCTACGCACCTGGAGCAGATACATACATTACAGAGGAGTAACACCTTGTATTGAGAACGGTAGTCAACAGAAAACTTATTTTATGCACGTTGAAAAAAATAGACAAAAACACAAGTTTGTCTCCAAATTTTATTAGGGATCAAGTTGGACAGGACTCGGTGTCAAATTCAAACAAACATTCAGAATTGTTTTATTACAAAACAGTAACATTACATTGATATCAGTGGTAGATGTGAAACAACGCAGCTGTAACTCAAGTAAACAGACGATGGGTTGTATACTTACCTCCCAGACAAAGTAATCTTCCCATTGGCTTCACACCCATGTCAAAATAAAATACAGTAGATCAGTTATAGTGTGCAATAGTATGTCATGTGTATGGTTATACATCTGAGTCTGAATTCAGTTAAGTCACAATTTCAGCATCCCATTTTAGTCTGATGGGTAAACGGCTAAAAGTGAACTCATCACAATTTTAAAATAGTCTATAAAATAAACTCTGAACCACTGAGTACATTATACTTCAGAGTATTTACTTACCAAAGATGAAGCTCTAAAATGCTGCTGACCTGCAGGATGAGATACATTTTATCAACTGGAAGTTTAAACCGACATTAGAAGAGAAAAATGTTTTTGAAACCGGTCGATGTAAAATAACTGTAGTAATGAAATCAAAGATTAAAGCTGGTACTTCAGTAGTCACAGTTTCACCACTTTAACGTCTGACGGGTAAACGGCAAAAGTGTGAATTCATCACTTTTCCAGCTGTTCAAATTTGACTTCAGTCAATAACCCACTCGCTTTGGATGAACAAATCCTCTTCAAAACAACATCCTTAAATACTTTTACGACAACAAATACTGTGAGAATATTACTGACCTCATCAGAAGAGCAGACTGATGACATCTTTGACGTTTAGCGAGCACAACAAGAAATCTGAATCAGAAAGAATAGACACGTTATAATTTAAATAGAAGTTATATTCACAGATTTAGTTCTCCCATTTTAGGATACACGTGCTGGTGTTTCAGTTAAGTCACAAATTCACCATCCTGTTGTCTGATGGGTAAACGGCGAAAAGTGAACTCATCATTATTTCAGCAATAGCAAAGACCAGAAGAGAAACAGCAGCACTCACATTAGAGGTCCAAAGTGAAGACATTTGTGATTCCCAGTGATTATCCAGCACCTAAAAGAAGAAGAATGCCATAAGACACATTTAATTGAGGATCAGGTCATTTCTTTCCCTTCCGCAAGGTCAGCACTTGTGTTTTGCTGTAAGTTTTCTACACTTTACAACTAACCTTTTTAATGGGATGATTAACACGTACTCAATTATTAGCCAATATAGTGAGACCAGATGACTGATCACCTGAAGGTCAAAGGGTACAGCCTAACACAGCTTGGAAGCAAGGCTAACATAGTAGATCTGAGGACAGGTTCAGCAGCAGGCCATAACCTTTGAAATGACCTTATGTCCTTTATGGAGGGGTGGACTTTTACCCAGTGAAATCTTGGTGCGACCACCTCCCAGCCAGGGTTTCTTCTGATGACCTCTCAAAATCAAAACTGGAGCAACCCTACAAGCAGCTTTATGACACTAGGGACATCATTTCCCTCTTTTCAACTGTCCAGAAAAATGATTTATAGTTTGTCTTCAGGGATAAGACCTGTCTATAGTGAGACATGAGAGCAAACATGGGTGAGAGGGGTCATAACTAATGGTTTCAGTGATCCAGGATGAGATTAGTTTGTCATCTAAGCCTTGTCAATCATTCTGATTTAGTAACATCCAACTGCAGTGATACCATACAACTTTATTTATAGAGCACTTAAAACAGCTACAAGGCCAACCAAAGTGCTGTACAGACAAAACAGGTAACACACCAAGCAAAATACAAAATGAGGTAAATCAGATACAATCAGGAACAGCTGTTTTAAAAACATTAGCTGTCCAAATGTCTAAACCAGTCAATTTAGGGATGTAAACTGTCATGTTTAAGTATAAATTATGGTATTTAAATGTATAAATTATGGTATTTAAATGTAAAAAGGCAAAAAGATGAAAAATCAGTTCTTGAAGAGCAGGCTTTAAACCTGGTGCCCTGCTCCAGATCAGACTAACAACATTTATCCTTTAGTAATTGAGCATTATTAAGCATTAAGCAATATATAAACACAAAGGTTTGCACATAATCAAGCAAAAAACGCTCGACTTCAATACATTAGCCTGACCACGTGGCGAAATGCTCAACTACTATCTGAATCCACGTAAACTTAGCAGGCTGAAATCTGAGATATAAAATGTACAAACTTCATCAAGCACTGCAACGATTAACCTGCATGTTTTAGCGTTAATGTAAAAAAAAGAAAACACTTTCACGTTTAGCGCGATGTAAAAAGAAACCGCTAGTCACGTTCCACAACACGTGGCTGGAATGCTAACTAGCTCGGGCTAACTACATATTCCAGGGCTAATAATCCCGAAGTAAGGAAAAAAACGCCGCCACCTATTTTAAACTAAAACGAACACAGAATGAAAATATACAACTGCTCACCTGTAGAGAAATCAAGAAACGCCGAATGGCTGCGCGAGCTCTCCACACGACGGTCCAACAAAAAGAGAACAGACTTCCGCTTTGTTGTCCTTTTTCTTTTCTTTTTTTTTAATCTGCGCAGTTTTGGTGCGCAGTGTACCATACGTCGCCGCCATATTGGATGTGGCAAAAGTGAAGCGACAGAAGATGCCTCATTCATTCTGAGTGGCACGTGTGTGTGTGTGTTCGTTCAATACCCCACAGTCCCCCACCCCCTGTAAAAATATGTTCATTAATGTGATTAATCCAAGTCAGTTAAATGTGATTGTTATTTATCTTTATTCAGAAAATCCATGTCACATCTACATTTCAGTATTATAGTTGGATTAGATGTTAAATATGAATATTTCTATATTTATCCCCACAGTAATACACGTTAGTAGTTGTAAACACTCAAAAGAATACATAAGAGGAAGAAGCAGGTAATGGATGGATGGTTTAGTGCTTACTTTGTTCCAATCTAAACATTTAAAGAGTAAACATTTTTAATAATCACGTTAAAAGTTACAAATGTTGTCTTTGGTGCCTGTTTGTTTTCCATATATATTAGTATGTGAATGACAGTCATTTCCATAAAACACTGTAGAATGGTTGATCGGCAGATCTGCCTCATCCAATATGGCGGAAACTCTGACGTCCCGCTGTAGCGGGCCAGCCGGCTCAACGATCCGACTACATATTTAAGTCTATGCACAGCCGCAGACAAAAACACTAAAAATGTATGCGTTGACTCCAATGCTCTAGTCTAAGTCAAAGTGTAACAACAATTCTAAACTCTATTTTCACATTTGCATAAAGATACCTTTTTATTTTTTTTACTCACATATTTTACTTTATTCTCTAAGATTTCTATTAAATATACAGTATTTGTCCTATGGCTTTGTAGCTGAAAACATCACTCTAAACCTTAATCAAAGAAAGGAGTTAAAAAAAACATAAAGCTCACCCCCCCCCACACACACACACACACACACACACACACACACTGAAACGTTATGAAATTAACATGTAATCGCTTATTAGATAATGTTTCATTTTTTATGAAATATTTTCTAACACAATTTGCACATTAATACGAACAAAGCTGTTTTCTTTTCTAAATTGTTTTATTTGATTCTTTTGTTGAACCTTGGTTTTGTGCAGGCAGTGTTTAATGTCTTCAAACACAATCTTATGCTAAATAGTATTGATAATAATAATAATAATAATAATAATAATCCTCAATAGGCCTAAGCAAATAAATAAATGTTTTTTTCCCCTTTTTGTTAAAACCTTTGGAAACATCTCTCGTATTTTTGAGTAATTTATTCACCCACAGAAAATAATAACACATTTACAAACCATGCATGTAAAAACCAGCGGGAACATGAGATGAAGGGCTTCCTTTGTGGCCTGCTGACAGACCACTTCACATGACAGATGCTAAGTTATTCACACATGCATTTAGTGCAAATGTCTCCAGTCAAAGTGCATACCTGGGACATGTGTGGAGCTGCACGATGCACACAGAACAAGCCAAAATAACAACACACAAACCAAAAACATGCTCATATATTAATTTACATCGTCTTCATCGTGGAACTATACAATCAGCTAACATCAAGAACATTTCTAATCTATAACAGATTATTGGGAGGTGGAGGATGATGGGCCTTGATTCTCTGACTCTGCAGGATTATTGTTCAAGAACTGCCCAGAGGCTCCCACATACAGCCTGGACCTCATGGGCCATTTCTGTGGAGAAACAATTCCATTTGTTAACGAATTAACCCCAAGGCCCAAGGATTTTTAAGTTTACTGCCTAAATAAAATATACTCATTTTTTGTCAATTTACGCAGGTTTTTTTTTCTTAATTGGTCCAAAATGGTGCACTGATTAAAAAAAAAAAAAAAAAAGACAGTGTACCGACCTTTACTGGGTGCAGGTAGCCGTCACCTTTCAGGGAGTGTAACGCCTCCGTCTGTTTACTCTCCCCCTCCTCTGCTCCTTCCTCCTGGAGAGTTCGGGTTAAATGGGCGATATATGTGGTGGCCAGAATCAGCACGTCCAGTTTGGACAGTTTGGTGTCCGGCGGCACGGACGGTAAAGTCCTTTGGAGCTCCAGGAAGGCGTTCCTCAGGGTCTGCACCCGGCTCCTCTCCCGCGCCGCGTTCGCCGCCGCCGGCCGGCCTCTGCCGCCGAGCCCCCCGCCACCGCCGCCGGCCTGAAGCGGCCCTCGGGCCCGGTGGAGCTCCCGGCGGCGGCCGTCCGGACTGGGGCTGGAGCTCGGACTAGAAGCGGGGCTGTCATCCGCCGCCGCCCCGGAACAAAGACCGCCGTCCATAAGGGTGCAATTACAGACCTGGAGATTAAATCATTTACCAACTTATGATTCACATGAGCAATATGTTGCACATTTTGTTCAAACGTTTCATTTATTCTCGTTGGCTGATTTCGCCTTTAACTTAATGCGCCCCACATCTCCACGTTGTCATAAACTCCCTGGCATGTTGCCAACACATATTACAGAGTTTACCTCTTATATTTGTCCAAGACGCGACATGAAGACAGCCCGGGACAGGGAACGAGCTCCTCGGTGTGCGTCCTCCGGCGCGCAGCGGCATCCAACCCCACACCTGTGTGCGTAAAAGTCCAAGAGCTCTGCGTTTATTGGATACGGGTTTTTTTTCCCTCACCCCCACGTAATTAATCACTCCCTCAGAGGTGAGGACTGCTCCTTGCTGAGCTCGTGTCTGTGTGAGGGCCAGCGCGCGCTCGTTGTCCCCGCCAGAGGCTGGACTCTGTGTGGTTAACTCGGGGTCGTCTCTCTCTCTCTCTCTCTAATTGGCTGAACTCAGCGTGTTTCTGCTCGAGCCCATCAAAAATAGTGATTTGGACATTTTACCTTCAAATTAAAAGCAGACGATTCCTTGAAGGAATGCCCGTCGCGTTTTAGCTCCATTTCCTGATGCAGCTGGAGACATTTTGGTCAAAGCATGGACAAATATTTATTATGAGTAATCTCATGCACTCAGAGCACGTGTTGGGGATGATCCTCAGCTACTACCACGCCAAATTTGAGCTCAACATCTGTAGAATTGACTAAACTTCAACCACCTTTGTGTTTTTTCTATTTCGAATTGTCTCCAAAACAAAAACGTATCAGTTGTAATTATTTCCTGAAAGGTTCCTGAGATATTTTGCTAACAGACAGAGCTGACTCCAAACTGTTAATGGTAAAGTTTGAAATACAAGTCTTGTGTGTCCAGTTAATGTGTTTAGGGCAACTCTCAGCTACTACCACACCAAATTTTAGATGGATTCCTGTAAAACTGACAGACATAGCCTCTTTGTGCTTTCTAAGATCAGCAGGCCATCTTCATTTAGGCTGACTCCAAAACTTAATCAGCTATTTTCTGATGAATGCTCAATAATCCAGGTAGAAAAATCTAAAAAAAAAAAAAGAAAGTTAAATCTGGTCCTCTGGACATTCAAAAAAAAAAAACCAAAACCAAAACAATCAGCTATAAATGCATCGTTAAGTTTCATTAAAATCAGTTTCGATGTTTATGAGATATTTTGCTAACAGACTAACACAGGAAAAGAAATAATAATTAAGGAGATGAAAAGGAGCCAGAAATAAACATCTGTTTGCAGCGGTTCCTGAAAACTAACTGGCATGTGAAAGATGAGTATAGCAAAACATTTCTGACGAATTGCCAGCTCACTGGGGACAGCTAATAAATAAACCCGGGCGCTGCAATCAACAGGCCGGCATTCAGGACATTTTTGGACGACTCCTTAATTAATCATCCTGATTTCCAGGGCTCCGGACAGAGATGTCGGCCAATTAATGAAAGGAATTATTCATATTATGGATATTCTCAGACTGCTCTCGGTAAACATTGTTTTTGTAAGGATGGGGTAACAGCAGCGCTCGGGGCCACTGTAATTAAAAGTTGAAGTTAAAGAAGGTTAAGTAAGCTTGTTCCCTTAATTATCCTGCATCTTTCAGGGGTTACACGCGCCCATGTGGCTCCTGAAAACCCACTCGGACACAATCGGTGGTAATAAATGTATTGTTCGTGCTCACAGCGGGCTGGATCATTTGTCACGGTTGTTTGAATAAGAGCGCGTGTTAGCTTTGGAGAATGTAAAGACGTAATAAAAAGGCAAAGTGATCATTTAGATTGTGCCACTCTGCTTCAAACGCTTCACTTTTTTCAGCCAAAAGCACTCAGAAGAAAAATCACATAATTTTAGAGCTCCTTGCAAGAAACAGTTTAAATGATGCAAATTATTTACGTCTACAGAAACAATAAATCTAACCCGATGAAAACCAGCAGTGGTTACGAGGTGGAAATGCTGTTTTATTCGTTATTATTTTATTATTTTAAGCATTACTGCCAGGTTATTAAACCAGGAGTTAAATCATTAACACAAGGCTGACGAGACACTTAATTTCTGTTCCCTACAAGATCAGAGGTGTTTTTGCTTAAATACTTAGTTTATTTGTAATAAGAAATATTCTTAAAGTGCTTTATGACTATTTTTATTTACAAATAAAATTCCCGAATATATGTTATCAGATTACAATGACAAACGCAAATAAAAAATACAGATCACATGAGGCTAATCATGTTTTTCTTCCTGACTTTGTTGGTAATTATAAAAAAAAAAAGGATTTGAAGAGTCTCCTAAAACCTGTAATCATTTCAACATTTTAAATGGATCGTGTGTGAAAACTTGCTAAATTTCCACAGATTATTTTGTCAATGGATTAGGTGCCAAAGCAAACGAAGCTGAACTGTGATCCAGAGGATCTTCTGCGACGCTCTCCTCCCCGCACTCAGCTCTAGATGTGACCAGGAAGTGGATCCTGACCCGTGTTCAAGTCATCTGGAACACAAACAGAATATCAGCTTCTTATTTAAAAAAAACCTCTTGTACAACTTTGTTCTGGCTTTACACTAAAACATGACTTTGCATATAATGAAAGTTCAAAAGTAAATTTTTAACCCCCCCCCGCAAAAAAACGAGTGAACAAAGTCACATATGTAAAAAAAATTAGACAATCAAACTGATCATTTGACAACTTACTTGTTAAAGGATAAGCGATCAAGGGCCTAAGCAGCATTCGGTTATTTCTTTTCTTCTCTTTTGATGCTTTCCAGTTAATAAGAAACTGTCTGGTTAAATCATTAATGTCTTTTTCATCAAGGACCTCTAAAAAATAAAAATTAAAAACAGTGGGGGAAAAAATTGACATGTAATTTTTTTTGGTTTTATTATTTACCAGCAAAGGATAAAATATTAAATTGGCACTGTCTTAAACGTTAACGTGCAAGAAAAGTGATCGACGGTTACCGAGGCCTGTGCACAGTGTAATCAGTCGGTCTCTGTACTTTGGTTTTTTACACACAGGATTTCCACTCAGATCCAACAGCAGCAGCTGAGGCCAGAAGCCGAACACGTTCTCCAACTCCTGCGAACACGCACGACAGTCAACTTTAACAAGTTGGGTTTTAATCGCCGCTGGTTCAAACAGGAGTTTAGTGTCTCCGACATTATTCTCAGCAACTAAACAGGAACAGAGTGATGCACATTTGCAATAAAAAGAGACAAACAGGAGATAAATCTTCAAAAGACATGGTAGAAGTGAAGGTTAATGTGAAGTACAAGGTCCAATAGAAAGCGCATAAACAACACATCAGTCTGTTTTAATCAAGAGTGTCGCCGGTGTCGTGTAACTACGAGTTTTCTCCTGGGGCAGTGCGAGGCCGACTCCTCCAGCAAGTTGCCTGCAGTTGTATGTTTATCTAAAGGCACATTAATCCAAGCCTGGAAATATGAATACTCTCTGGACACGCTCTGATTGTTCATTGCCTTCCTGTCTTGGCCAAAGCGCTTCCACTTTTCCAGCTCGAGCTGCAATCAGTTCAGAGGGGACCCCAGAGCACCACGCGCTCCCAGGCTTTGATAAATGATCGTGTCAAGGCCGTCACTCAGAAGGCCCTCGCTGAAGAGGAGCCCAGCGCCAAATTGCCCCCCACGCGGGGGGCCGTGGAGAGCAGCGGCTCGGCTGGCTCTCTCTCCACTGAACTAATGATGAGCCGGTTACGAGCCAGAGTTGGACCGAGGCTTCGATTCCTCTGTCCTCTACGCCCCGCTCACAGTTACCGGCCTCCAAAGATGCTCCCCATTTGTCACCGCAGCTGACTGCCTGTCATAATCTATTTAAAAAAATCCATAATGGTTCCTCAGGATTTTCACCAAATGGTGCAGCTAAGAAATTGATCCTTTAGAGAGCTGTCTTTGCAGAATCAATAGTGGCAGACGGGTTGTATAAACTATAGGAAATATTTGCTAAAAGTGACACACGGTCAACAATTACCTCAATCAACAGTAAAAAGAAAAATCATTCGCACAACACTGAAAAAGTTGAGACTGTGTGCACTGTTTTGTAAATCTCCTGCATCATGCAACATTTAGGACATGGAGGTAGTTGGAGTGAGGGCAGAGCATGCAGAGGACAGAGTAAGATGGAGGAGGATGACTTGCTGTGGCGACCCCTAAAGTGGGAAAAGCTGAAAGAAGAAGAACATTTAAGAACTAAGGAGAGCGGCTGCTGGAGTTTTTGCAGGAAATGTCCTGTTCTTATCTGATGCAGGGTTCTCCTGGGTGTTCTTTACTGGATGGGATCATATGTTGTACTTTTCTACATTGATGGGGCCTTTTCAGATGTGCAAGCTGCCCATTTCAGAGGTACTAATGCATGCCCATACCATTAGAGAGGCAAGCGTTTGAAGTGTGCACTGAAAACAAGCTGGATGGTCTCTCTTTAGTGTGGAGGATGATTAGAGAACGACCCATTTTGATTCATCTGAGCACAAAACAGTTTTCCATTTTGCCGCAGTCCCATTTTAAATGAGCTTTAATCCAGAGAAGATAGCAGCATTTCTGATGGTGTTCACATATGGCTACTGCTTTGCATGATAGAGCTTTAACCAGCATGTATGGATGGCACGCTGAATTGTATTGTGGAAGTGTACCTGAGCCCGTGCAGAGAACAGAATCAAATCTGTTTTTAATGCAGTGGCCTAAGAGAGCCTGAAGATCAAGACTATCCAATATTGATATTCCAGCCTTGTTGCAATATTTTTTTTTTTAAAGTAGTGTTGTATATTAAAGAGGAATTTGAAGGAAAAGTCACTTAAAATGTACTTTAAAGTAATATCAGGATCATTAAATACAAATCATTCTCTTCAGTTCATAAATCAATTTAACAGAACAATCAAGGCCCTCACATTCAGCTCAAATACCCAACATCCATCTTGAATCAGACAAATCTTCCATTAAGTGATATTCTGTTGGTTTAGGAAATCAAACAGGATTTTAAGTCAAGGAGAGAAAAAAACTGCCTTCCAAGGAAACAGAGAAACTTGTGCTTGTTTAAAGCTGTCAGTGAGAAAAGTCTCTGGGGAGCGGCTCGCTGATTTGTTGAATAATTCTGACCCTTCGCGAGGCGTGGAGACCTGGGAACTTCTGGCAGGATTTGTGGGATTTAGTTCTTTTCAGTCCTGTTCTCCATATCATTTCACACATCGCTGCAGAAAGCTAACGTTGACCTCATCAGCTAATGGATGGCATGTTGATTTTAATATGTCACGTCGTGCAGACTTTGCTTGATGTGGTCGTAGTTACTGCATGTGTCCTCTGTGATGCTGGAGTACAAATCTTATTTTTTAATTTAGACAGCTTTAATTAAATGTAACATAATTTTATACTTACTTCAATGCTGAGCAATTTATTATCCGCAGCAGAAAAATGCTGGAGTTCCTTCAGCACTGATAGGGCACTAATATCGTCAACGTTGTTGTTATTAATATTCAGGGTATGGAGACAATCCTGTGCAAATAATTCCCATTAAAGAAGAGAGAGGAGTTCAGATTCCATTCACTTGACAGAATAATACAAATTTAATAAAAACGTAGGCCAATTGCACAAATATTACATTTTATAGTTACTGCTTATACTACCAAACAGAAAAAAGTACAGAAAATAGCTCCAGATGTGCATTCAGAGGATTTTTTTTTTTAAATACCAAAGCAGCATCTTAGTAGAATTATTCTGTTAAAATAAAAGCACTTCACAATATTTTCTCTTCATTTTGCTCATAATCTGGTTGAATTCAACTTATAAAATTCGTATTTATATAAAACTTGAGTTACAAGAACTACATTCAAATCATCCCCAACGTGCTGCATGCAGCTGCTAAATATTACATTTCTTTTAGAGTTAATACGCTAAATTTTGCTACTTAGTTATATATTTTAATTTTAAAAAAAAACAACACTTTCTAATAGGTGGAACAGTATATTTTGGTGAATAATTTCTGTACTCAACAATATGGGTCATACAGCGAGTGAGTGGAGGGTCCTGGGGTCAAAGTGCAACTTCTCCCCTGGTGCCAGCCGCTGATTCTCCAGATGAAGCTCTTTGAGCTCGTGGAGCTCCTCTAAACCCTCCACCACAGTAATTCTGTTCCCACCTAAATACCTGCAGAGCAGAAAACACGCACAGACACAAAGATCTCTCAATAATAAACCCAACACAGAAAACCAAGACGGTAAAATTGTCTGCTTACAGTTTGGAGAGTTTCTGCAGACTGTAGAGATTATCTATACGAGGGATGTTGTTGTTCTGCATGTACAGATGTGTAAGGTTGGAGGCAAAGCCGAGGTTGCAGATGCAAGTTATCTGATTGTCGTACAGGTAGAGAACGGTGAGGCTCCTACACATGGAGAGGTCTCCCTAAAAGTTGCATTAAAAATATGAAATCAGCATTATAATTGGAGACAAACAAAAAATGTATGAGTGATGATGCTGACTGATTACTTACGATGTCATCAATATTCTTGCTGGAAAAGTGGAGGTGGGTGAGGGTTTTGAGGTACTCTGGGAACGAGAGTCCCCTCTTCTTTTTTAAGTGTTTTTTAGACTTGGCTATCAGGTCTACGGTCAGACGTACCATGCTGACTCAAGAAGACTCGGCTTCAGCGAGTGACTTTGTCAGGTTGCAGCAAAGACTCGAGCAAAACAGACAAACGTTAACTGAAACACAAATTCCTCTTGATAATTATTTCCTGAAGCCCAATTATGTTAGCGTTTGTATTCACAGAAAACACATATGTTTAGCCTAAAACTCATTTAAGCTAAATTTAAAATGTCTTTAGGATAATAATTTCCCCACGTGGTCTGCTTCTTGATATTCAGATACTAAAGGACTTTTTTAATGTATTAAGTCTGGCACTTTGATTTTAAGTTGCTTTTATAATTTTTTACTACTGTTAAGTATTTATTACTATTACTTGACTACTACTATTTTATCCACCTACTAAATAAACAGCTGTCAGTGTGTAGGTCTGAAATTAGGAAGAAAAAAAAAAGACTAGTTATGGATGAGACATATACAATAATCATCCTAAATCATTTCTAAATGAGGCAATACAAGAAAATGAAACAAAAAAAACCCCTCAAATGAGGCCTACAAAAACAACAAATATAATATACCCACAAGTTCAAAAATTGAAACACAAAATGTAAAATCTAAACAAACATACATCGAATAAAGAATATTACACGCAAATTGCCACATGCTATGGCAAAATAAATGCACAGAAAATGGTACAAAATGCACAAAACCAGCAACATTTGTTTTTAAATTAGGCTAAAGTGTCTAGTACAAAAATATAATTATTTGAGTCAGATAGTCAGTGTTCTGAAGACCATTTCTCCACCATCGGTCATAGTTTTAAAGGTAAATGTTTGTCAGTGACAGAGAACTTTTCCACACTTGATCTTATGTTATCAGGTCGAAAAGACACTGATCGATAACCTGAAGATGAACTATAGACACAAGACATCGGCTAATTGAACTCTTATATACCCCTGGGCCTGATTCCTACAGGGAACCAGCACTGGGAAGTAATTTATCACTGTCAAATTAAAATTGTGCCACACGTAGCTGTCGCAGAATATTAGAGATGGTACTTTTACACTGACCTTATATCAGCGAGCTAATTGATTAGCTTGTTAGCTATCGTAACGCAAACATTTAACGCTGGAGTCTGCCTAAAAAAATACTAATTCAGATCGCAAAAGCTAAAATAGTCACGTATTTCTCTTACCTTTTGAGAAGAGCGGTTACTTTTTAAAAAGTTAGACGGCTAAATAACTTTTTAAAATGCTGTGAATCAAGGGTTTCTTTGTATGTTTGGTTTGAGATTAGAAAGGTGGTTACTATGGAAACTACGGAGGCTGCGCAGAAGACAAACTAGCAAACCGGAAGTAAGAGATGAAACGCACACACACACACACACACACACACACACACACACACACACACACACACACACA